AAGACAAGAGCCTATGCTATCTAGTAGAGAACTGGTTGTCTTATAAAAGAATTCATAGTTCATATTGGGAAGCAGGTAACTAGGGAAAACAGAAACCTAAAGACTGTTAATGAGGCTAATGATACTTGCTTTATACAAGTGAAGATTAATGAACTGTATGTAAAATACCTAATATGTTCAGTGTCTGGTGCATAGACCATTAATGAGTGGGAGCTATTATCATCATTATTATGAAACAAAAAACAGCCATATTTTTGCTTATTACTAAAGTAACAGAAAAGTTAGAAAACATCAATGACAAAATCATCTATGATCCTACTAACCATAAACATCTTATTATTTATATTTCTAGTCTTGCTGAACTATCATTTTTTTCATCATTCTCCTCTTACTGGATATATGGGTTGTTTCTAATTTTTTGCTGTTAAAAATATTCTTGCAGTGAATATCTTTGTATGTAAATCTTTGGTTGTGCCTCAGAACTTTCCCCATTAGAGAACAGATGTCTGTTAATCCGTGCTGCAATTCATTACTTCCTCTTAATGGCCATGCCCTGAAGGTACCCGTGTGTCTCTCAGACATTTAAGGAACTAGGTTAGTTATCTCATTCTTTCCTTTCTTTACCAAAGGTACTCTGACCTAAATTCTAATACTTAAAAGGAAAAGAGATAATAAATGTAAATACTATCTTGCAAATCTCTTTAATTGATCCTTTTTCTCACGCATTTAGCCAGCTTTGCTTTACGTGAATATTTCCCTTAAAAATGAGGACTTGGTGGAGAGGAAAACGGGTAGAATATCTAGATTCCAGTAAATCTTGCTGCTTGTGTTCCCATTAGGTTGCGTTTTTCTAACTGTATAAAACAAAATCAGTTCCATGTTCACCTATGTTTTTTGTACTTCACCCTTCCAAGGAGCTGGGAGTTTATTTCAAAACCTTTAGTCTTGACTTGCTAGGATATATATTCTCTAATTGTTGCAGGATACGATATGTCTCCAATACAGTAAGCTCATTTATTATTTTGTTTAGATCTTTATATCATTATTGATATTTTATTTGCTTGATATTTAAATTATTGAGAGAGGTATGTTAATATCCTGTATTATCACAGGCTTGTCAGGTTTTCTATACAAATCTAACAATTTTGAATTAATATATTCTGTGGAAATAGTATTAGATACATACAAATTTAGACTTAGTGTATCCTTCTGGTAAATTGAACCTTTTAGCATTCTGTTGTAACCTTCTTTAATAATGCTTTTTGCCTTTAAGTTGATTTTGTCTGATATTAATATTGCTACACCAGCTTTCTTTTTTTTTTTTTAAGATTTTTATTGGGGAATTAGGGGAAGGGGAACAGACAAGTTGCTATCCTTTTGTTCTTCAGTCT